AAAAACAATATATCTAATATATATTAGGAGAAATAGTAATTAAAATAATAAAATTTGGAATCATAAAAAACATACATGATATGAAAACATAAAAATGAGAACTAAATTGCAACACCATACAGTCGCATCTCCTAAAAATTCAACAATTGAATCAAATAAGTATAATTTGAATGCACTATAATAATTAAAGAGAAAATAAACTCATTTTAGAACTTGTAAAAATGATTTAATGGTAGGTAATATAAAGCTCTACTAAGTAGAATTTCTCATTTTTAGAAAATAGTCAAATTACTAGAGATTATAAAGATTATTACTTAAAAACTTTAATTATACTATAATAACATTTTTAGAGTTTACATTAATTTTTATTCACTTAAAATAATGTAATTCCTAAAATCCCCAAAGTAAATTTTCTTGAAAATACATAATAATTAAGAAATAATATATCTATAACGTATAGAAAGTTACGTAGTAAGAGTTTTATGGATATAAAGTTATTCTCATCTTTTGGTTACATAATTATAAATTTAATCATAAAATTTTGGGAAATTCCTTAATTATGAAAATAAAGATAAGCAAAATGTGACATACCTCGATCCAAGTAACTTTTAAAACTAGGTAGACAACAAAAATGACCTATAATCACACAAACCTAGCTTTCTCTCTCTCAAAACCTGCTCTTTCTCTTTCTAAACCAGCTGACAAAATGAAATGTATCAAATGAAATAGTGGTTTAAAATATTTAAAATATTAAAAAAATTCTAACATTGTGGCGCCAAGTAACACAACACATGGAGCCCTTTAGAAAACCCATAATACAGTCGCACTCATAACATTTTAGAGCTCCAAATTAATTTAAAAAAACTTGAGAGCACTACCACTATTGCGCTACCAATGCTAGTGCTGCGATGCATGAGGGACATTTTTCATATTCTACAAACTTGTAAATAGACCCCAAATTCTCACTCCAAAACACATTCATACTCTCACATGCATATAAAACATTCACAGTCATGTGCAATAGGGTTCAAATGTATAGATTCAAGTAATTATCTCTTTTAACTTGAGTCAAAATATTTTGAGCTGAATACTGAATCTGGAGGTGTCACATGATATGTGTCCATAGCTTGATTATTGTTGTGTCTCGTATGGGAGACCTTTCTCTTGCTAAGATGAATAAAGATTTGTACAGCTAAGAGAGAAACTTTTGAGGTCGCCCTCACCAAAATGGGCAACTGCTTGGAAAATGTGGCAAAACTAGGTCCTCTGTGCTCTAGAGTTAAGCTCCACGCTAGATCCTGAGCAAGTCCCTCAAATGGACCATTCTGAGAGAGAAGAAAGTTCTGCTTCCAATTAAACTAAATGTAACATACAAGATAACTGCAAACTGGTATTTCCATAGGTATTAATGGGTGTACAACCACAACTTTAGTTGATTCTCTTGATGCCTTATTAGTTCAGATTAATAAGGAAGCGAAAGAGAATGCACTTTATTATCTAAGATATCAATTTCTTTTTTATCAAAGTTGGTTGTCTACAAAGCAAGAAGTAACTATATAGCCTTGAGTTTCGCAATATAGAAGTTTAGATATTATGTGCATTCTCGTATGGTGAATTTCATTTCATACATCAATCATTTATAATAACTTACGAATCGCCTAGCAATGCTTTGATGTTTGACAAATTGGTTTAATATTTTGTTTTGGCATCACCTTTATACTCGTGTGTACTCACAGTTGTAAATGAACCATTAGTTTGAAGAGCTGCTCGTGGCTCAGCATGACAAGAGCTCATTTATATTAGTTTAATAAGCTAAATGAATGGGCTTGAACACTTTTAATAAATACTTGACAGTTAAATAAACGAGTTAAAACAACTTGTCGTCCAGTTTGTTTATGACGAACAATAAAATTTAAAGATCATGAACAAGCTAGTTAAGAAGTTCTATCAGAGCTTAATTAAGATTCATTTAACATGAATTAGCTTGAAATAAATATATAGTTTTAAAAATAAATATTATTAAATTTATTGGACTAATTAAATAATTTAATTCAGCCCTTATTTTATTAATATTTTTAATTCATGTCTATTTAATTCACATTTTTGGATATATTTAATAATATAATTCGACGAGGGATGAGTTGGCTTGCAAGTTATTATATAGGAATTAACGATTAAAGCATTTTATTTTGTCAAGGGTTGGCAAGGTGCTCGAGTAAGGCATTTCATTTTATCAAACGAGCAGCTCGTTAATGGGCTTGACAAGCCTAACATTAAAAAAACTCGAGCATGCACACGAGCTAAACTCTAACATGTATTTTTTAAATGAGCTCGAGCTCAGACAAATACAAAAAAAAAACATGAATATTATTGAGCTAAGCTCGAACAGGGTTTTTGGTAAATCAGCTCGAGCTCAAACGTGTTATAACTCTGCTCAGCTCGATTCGTTTACAGCCCTAATGTATTGTATTATAAATTATAAAACTATTTCAATTTAGCCGAAGTTTTAAAAATGGGATCATACTGGCCAGTTTGACCTTGAATTGGTCATTTGGCCAATCTACTCTATCTTAAAAATGATTTTTTTATCGCTTGTTAGAATTATGGTTCAATTAGAAAACCTATGAACCGATCTTGATTCCTTTGAATTGGTTGAATCAATGAATTATTGTTATGAATAAATAAATTAATTTAATATTTTTTGAATAAAAACATTATGAGAAAATTTCTAAGTTAATTGGGGCTAAATAATTTGAACTTCTCAAATTTATAATATATGTGCTATATATTTTTAAACAAAATACTCTTTAAATAAATCTTTATAATATAAATAATATTTTTTTTAGTTAATAATATTTAATTGATTTATTTATTTAATTATAAAATATTAAAATATATATTTTTTTATCTATTAATAATAAATGATCGAACATCCATAATGTATAGATGCAAATTTTTAAAATGATTTTTTTAATTTATAGGAGTAAATTATATTTAATCATATAAAATAAATCATTAATAATTTATATTAAACATATAATCTTTTAAGTGAAATAAATTTATTTAAATTTCAATCAAAATTAAAAATTATAGGAGTTTAAATTTAAAAATTACAGAAAATATTATTTACATATGAATACAATTTATTTTTAATAATAAATTTTTAATGTTGTTTAATTATTACATCATTATTATGTTATTTAGTTTTTTTTAGATAAATTAAATATTTATTCAACCTCATATTTGAGCTAATTAGATCTTTGAATTTTTAACCTCTCCTTCTTTTAATTATATATTTAATAAGATTTTCACAACCTTGATTTTAGCATTTAAAGTTTAAGGCAATAAGAGAGAGTGGCTCTTATCCCCAAGATTTTGAAAAGTGAATTGTACATTGTATCGTGAAAAGGAAAAAATAAGATTTCAATGTTAAAAGATAGTCGAGATGTCATAATAAACATTTTATATATTTAACTTTTTAATAATGACTTAATAATATATTACATATAATAACAATTAAATTGATAAAAATTTAAAACACATAAAATATAAAACCTAATACAAAATAAGGCAACTAAGTGTTTGTTTGGAATGGTTGAAATTTTTTTATAAAATTGATTATAAAGTTATTATGCAGAAAGTAGCTTCTTTAAATACTTCCATAAAAAAATAGCTCCTTAAAAAAAATTTCTTTGAAAGTAACAGCCAAATAGAAGTTTTGGTTAAAGTCTAAAAATTTATTTCAAAAAGACCCTAAATTCAAATGAAATTTTCAAATCTATCTATTTATTTTAATTAACAATTTTTGCTAATAAAAATTTTGATTCCATAAAATTTGAAATAAATAATTCGGTGAATGTACTCTCAGTTAATCCTAGAGAAAGATTTGAGTAAATTTTCAATTTTGAATCAATTTGAACTAATTTTATTCGCAACTAATTTCGATAGCTCATAAATATACGAGGGGGTAATATCATATGATATTTCTTTAAAGAAACAAATATGCATATTTCTCTAATTATATTTATAAAGGTATATAAAATAAATCCCAACGCAATTATGTCAAATAAAACTTGGCCATAATTTTAATTGATTTAAATAACCTAAAATATGCTCATCATTAGAATGTTAGGTTGATTCCACTTACCATCAAATGGCAAAATCAAACTCTTTGTTAATTAATCTATTCATATTTTGGCACAGTAACGATATCACTGCCACTGGAAATGTCAATTTGTTGAAAAATTATTACATCCGGTGAAAATACCGAGCAATACCGAGCAATACCGAGCATATCGAGCGCGCCGTACCGAGCACAGTACTGAGCACGGTACCGAGCACTTTAGTGACGTGGCGTTTTGTTATTGGTTTCCGGATGCATTCGGTAACCTGACGGAATAATTACTCCAGTTTGTCAGCCATAATCAATGAGATTTTAGTAACACGTCAATTATTTCAACACAAATACAATCTTTCACTTACGAAAAAGATTTAATTAGAAGAATAGTTAATATAGAATTATAATTTTTCATTTTATATATCTCGTTTTTCTTTAGTGTAATTTACAACATAATACTTTTTGAAACCTTAATAATACAGATCATATGGTGTTGAAGTTTGATCAATTAAGAACGAAGAGTACTAAAAAAAATAAAAGCATACATTATGGTAATTATTTCTTCATCATATGTTATTAAAAAAAAAACTAACATTTAACATTATTACTTAATTCATGAAACAGAGAGCGAACATTACAGAAAGAGACTCCTTGCTGCTGGTTTCTTTGTTGCGTTCAAACCATGGGCTTCCTATAGAATATAATACATTTTATGTCACCTCCCACCAACCCATAAAGGCATAAAGCTACTGGAGTAAAAACAAGCAACAGCAAACTTACCTCAGGCTTTTAGCCAAAAACCATTTGCGGCTTCGTTCCATTTCCCAACCCTCGCTTATAAATTCACAACAATCCCACCCACCTCCTACACCACACACCAAGCTCTTGCATCTCATTTATTCTCGCTTCATTAGTGTCAGCCATGGCTTCCATCGATCACAAGCTCACCATGGCAAAGAGCTGCGCTCGCGGTATCATTAAGCTTTCACTTAAAGAGATGTTTTATGTATAGTGTTGCTTGCTATCCGTAGCTTAATTATAAATTGTCATTTATTTTTGTTTGTTCTTGAAAATGGTAGATGGGGTCATTGCTGGAGCGAAGGCAGCGGTGGTCGCAACCGTCGCAGCGGCCATACCTACAGTGAGTTTTGTACTATCATCAAGCAAGAAGATATCATTGCAAGACTCCTGTTTCTTTGCATAAATTAATATGCCATTACATCTTTCAGTTAGCCAGTGCCAGGATGCTTCCCTGGGCTAGAACATACCTAAATCACACGGCTCAAGCCCTCATAATTTCATCAGGTTATAAACTATCATTAGCATTAAATGGTTTTGAATCAATTTTGTCATGAAGGATATATATTTTCCTCCTCTATTCATATTAACAGCTCATAGATATTATTGCAGTTGCTGGTGCTGCATACTTCATTGTTGCTGACAAGACTGTTTTGCAATCGGCAAGAAATAACTCTTTCAAGAATGCAGACAAATCAGAAGCAATGTGAATTGCATTTAGTCAGATCTCAGTTATTTATCAAGATCTACGGTTTCTCGTATGTTGACTTGGTATTAGTATTATGGTTTCGTAAGCTTAAATGAGTATTAGTGATTATGAGCTGTAATATCTACATAAATACAATACGATTGCACTTCTGTTGGATGTCAGAAAATTTGTTTGAATGGAAAGTTTTAATCATATTTTCTTAGGTCCAATGATCTACTCCCGTCTAATTTAAGATGACCCTGTTTCATATAAGATCACTCCATCTGCCAACTTTCGCATAGATGTTAGACAGTAGAATATAAATGCCGTGGTCTTCATCCACAATTTCTATAAGATTGAAGGCTACTTAGGAAATTCAATTTTAGCTTGGCTTTGACAAGCTCCAAGAAGAGAAGTAAAAATTAACTCCTTGGGCTTCATCTTCACCCTTTTATCAGAGCCTTAGCAACAATAAAAAGCCCACATTGACCAACAAAATCGATCAGACAACCATAGTGTCCATAGTTTAGGAGAAATCTATGATCGATCCCTTGCCATGCATTCAAAATACTAGTATTAAGGCTTCGCATTAGAACTCAGAATTTTTGGAAATTCAGTTTTTCTTCAAAGTAGCCACAATGCATATTGCCCGAATTTATACTTCCAGGACATGAACACCTCTAACGCGCATTTCATGAAAAATTATCCTTGGCATCACCTAACTGGCCTGAAAAAATATCATAGCATTAATCTGGGAGTTGAAGGAACTGCGCGCATCTACTTAAGAAATTTCATCACATCTGTCGGACATCGAAAGCGTTCGGATTCCGACAATCTATACTGATAAGAGAAGTGTGTGAGTAAAAATATCCAAGCAAAAGACCAAGCTTAAAGAAGAGTATTGACGTAGATGGCTAATAGATCTGCGCGTGAATTTTTTTCCACCTAGAGGATAAGCTAAAGCCAAGGCTCAAGCTTTAAACAGGAAATGCAAATTAAAGGATTTGGATTTCCAGCTAGGGAGATGAGAGTTGTCGTTAAGGCTAATAGAGTTAGGCGCGAATGGTATTGCGTATGAAGTGGTTTTTTGACGCATTGTGCCGAGCAGTGATCGGCGTAAGAAAGATGGATGGTAGAACAGACCGCGCAGCTCGATATGCTTGGTGATGGTTAGTTGATGAGAGTGGAGACTGGTTTTGATGCTTTAGTCATGAATTTTCTATTTTGCTTCTTGCCAAGAAGGGCTTACTCAAGAAAACTCAAAAGTGTATTTTTTTTTTAGTCATTCGGATAGATTTCAAAGTTGCCTTTTCTAAGTAGTCAAGATTTTAATTTTTAATTGAATAAAATCAGAACTACAGGAGAGTAGCTGAATCGTTGTGGGACTTCAATCGATGTTATAAAAAAATTATTAAAAGGATAAAATTTTGACAGAATATGAACGTTATATTTATAATTTTGAGAGTATTGAAATATATTTGAAAATACTTGTTTTAATATTTTAAAGGCTTTTAACACTTCAAACAACAAAATTAGAAGAAAACTTGACTCTCTAAGGTTTGGTTTGGGATAGTTTTCTTATTATTTTATAAAAAAGATTTTTAGTACAATTTTTTTTTTTAAAAAATAATTTTATACTAAAATTCTATTTTATAAAGCCTAAAATTCTGTTTTATAAAACATTAAGAAAACTATAACAAACGAAGCCCAAGCCTCCATGCCTCAAATAGCGCCTAATGAGATCAATATAAGCTTCTATACTTTTATTTAGAGAAATTTATTCTAAAAATTATGAATGAAATTGCTCTATTATTGAAATATAATGGGTATGACTTGATACATCCTAAAAAATTGCTTTAATCAAGTATGAATATCAAGGCATATTCGAGTTGGAAATTTTCAAAATTAAATCATATGAATTTCAATTTCAGCAAACTTATAATCAAATTGAGCATCTCAAAGAGGCGAACCAAACAACACCAAAATTGGTCCAACCCAAGCCCAAATGAGTCTGAATCGGGGGCTCGGGCAATATTTGGAAGAGTCAAAGCATTATTTGGATGATGAAATGATATCCAAAAATAGCATGCTACTAGTCAAATCGAGCGTCTCGGCAAGACAAATCCAATGAGCCCAAGATCTCTGAATTCTGACATTGTTAAGTCACTTAAACATTTGAAAAACTCTCTGCGATCAGGGAATTCAATACGAGCAATCCGATGGATCACTCTGAACCTCCCCCAGATCTTCTCTAGATTTACAGGGTGTGCCACTTATGAAAATTTTTAGACCCCCACTATCTGTATGAGGGGACCTTTGCTGGAGATTGGAGAGAGCTCTGAAGCTTCAAGAGCTCAACACCACTGCTCGGCCGCCGACCTCCACCAGACCTTCGCCCGGCCGTCGCCCGTCGCCGGACCTTCGCCCAGTCAACGACCGCCAACGGACTCAGCCCGACCTTCGACGGACCACCGCTAGGCCGCCGCCCGCCTCCGGACCTTCGCTCAGCCGATGCCCGCCACCAGACCTTCTCTAGGCCGACGACCGCCGCCAGACATCAGCCCAACCTCCGTTGGACCACCGCTTGGCCGCAGCCCACCACAGGAACTTCGCCCGGCAGACGTCCGCCGCAGAACTTCAGCCTAACCTTTGTCGGACCACTGCTCGGCCGACACCCGCCGCCGGACCTTCGCCCGACCGCCGTCCGCCGCCGGACATTCTCCCGACCGACGATCACTGCCGAACTTCAGCCCGACCTTTGTCGGACCTTCGTCCGGCCGCCATCCATCGTCGAACCTTCGCCCGGCCATCGTCCGCCGCCAAACTTTAGCCCGACCTTTGTTAGACCCCCGCCGGTTATAATCGATTTTCGGCGGCGTCAATCAGTCGTCCTATATAGATATTTTCGGCGGCCAAATCGCCGGTTGGCCGCCGGAAACCTATAGCATCTAAAAAAAATGACAGCTTCCCCTATATTTGAGGGATTTTCACCCTAAACTCTAAAGCTGGACATAAATCAATCACAATAATTTTGGGCAATACGCCACTATAGTCCATCACAACAATTATCATAAATATATTCATAAGTTAAACCAAACAAAGTTCACAAGTTCTAATGTTCACAAGTTTACAAATGATTTCATAACTAAGTTCACAAGTTCTAAGTTCAATAAGTTCAACCAAATAAGTTTACAATCAGATCATCATAAGTGCATCAAACATAAAAACTACTAATCCTCGTCTGTAACCTTGCTTTCTGGAGATGCATGTGGCTGCTTTGTCTCTTGCTCTTTCTTCCTTTGATTTTCATCTCTGTAGGATCGCAGCTCTGGTTGCATTTCATTTTAAACATTTCTCATATCTTCAATCTCTCTAGTCAGCGCTGCAACCCTCAGGCTTAAAGTTTCTTCAGCTCCACTTGGATCATAAAATGCTGAGGTGGATGAACTGCCCTCATAAGCATAGCCTTGCGAACCTAAGTCATATACCCTCCCCCTCTATCTTCCTCCAACAATATCTAACCATGTATAATACTAAAAAATTTGGTTTGGTCACATAAAACGGCGGCCTTGCGATGACCCGGTTAGGAGAGTAGAGGTATTAGATTTGACTTATATTAAGAAAGGTAGGGGTAGACCTAAAAAGACTTGGTTAGAAAATATTAGGAATGACCTTTCTTTATTAGATTTAAACGAGAATTTGACTTTTAATAGGACACAATGGAGAAAAAGGATTCATGTAGCCCACCCCACGTAGTGGGATAAAGGCTTGATGTTGTTGTTGTTGTTGTATGAAGATGGTCCCTCACCAGTGGACTGACGACTTTCTCGAGCTCGTACAAAATCATCCTTTGAGAATAAATCCATAAAATATATTGATATTACAATTAGTTTTATTATAATAATTTCTATTCCCAAACTCCAAAAAATTATACTCACATGAGTCTTCTTATCCTTTTCATCAACGCACTGATGGTCCGCTTGATGTTGATGAGTTCTCGTATACAACTCCAGCGGTGTTAGCTCCCGACCAAGAAACCCTTTATGAAAATATAAGATATAGTTATAATAATATAAATATATTTAATAAACTAATTTAAAGCTCTTACCACTCGTCATCTATATTCCGTATGAGGAACTGATCCACCAGTATGAAGAGAGCTTCCTAAACCCCCACAGTCAGATGCTCTGTTCTGCTTATTTTGCTCTCTTATTTTTTTGAACTCAAGGGTAGCCCAAGCTCTACTCAGATCAGCCCATACGCCCTCTCCAATCCATATTGGAGTCTGCCCGAACTTTCTAATGTCTGTGAACATGTCTCTAAGACGGGTCACTCCTCTCTTCTCAAAACTTGTTATGATCCTCGTGCTATGCTCAAGCAACTACCTAAATTCTTTATGTAAAAATTTTAAGTATAACTAAAAATATTAATATAAATTAAAGTAAATATTTGAATTCATACCAAATAAATATACCTAAAATTCTCCAAACCACATATCCCTAATCTCCTTTTAGATTTTCTTCCATGATTAGTAAGGAGCATCATATTTGTTCTTTATAATATCCCGGATCTTGTGAGTAGGTGGACTTAAAGAATTGAAGCTGCAGGATTTTTTTTGTCAATAACATATAATATAAGAAAATACAATAAACTTAATAACATAAATGGAACTTACTTATCGCCGTCAGACTCAATGTATTGATGCTTATTTGTTGCAGCTGCATGATCCCCAACACCAACCTCTACTGGTCTAGATAGTCCACCGTGTTCTGGCTGCACCGGATATGGGTAATAATATGGGTGGGGTATGGAGGGTAAGGATCAGTATATGGACCTGCTGACTGTGATGATGGTGGGGGTAATATGGATAGAATGGAGCTGCATGTGCCTGATCTTGAGAGAAAAAGTGAGGACTCGTCGACGGAGGAGGGAAGTAGCTAGGCAAGGGTAGTGGTACAATAGTAGGTGGATCTGACTGACCCTAACCCTGCTCACTCGGAGACTGCTGCTGACTCCTAGAAGGTGATGGTGAAGGTATAACTGGTGGAACTGATCTCAATCTGTCACTTTCATCAAGTTGTCTGAGTCTGTTAGGATTAACACTCAATTTTTTCTAAAGAACATTGAGGTAAATGATCTACGAGGAGGATCGTCACCTGAAGTCATTTATATTAAAAGAAGCAATTAATAAAGCATTGTAATGTATAAAAAATAAAGAATATAGAATACAAATTAATGAATTACAAATATAAAGAATGACATAATACAAAAAAATAATTAACCTTTTCATTGCTCAGAATTTAAAAAGTATAATTCTGAATATTACAAAAAGCAAAATTCTACAATTCTAAATTATAAAAATGATAATTCTAAATTACAAAAATTACTCAGAATCAGAAACATTTTCATTGCTAGGAATTCAAAAAGTATAATTCTATAAGTATAAAACTATTCATAAATATTATAAAAAGTAAAATTCTACAATTCTAAATTATAAAAACTATAATTCTAAATTACAAAAACTACTTAGAATTAGAAATATTTTTATTGCTCTCCTGGGTATCTTCACTTTCATCCTCGTTCTTAATTGATGAGCTAATTAAACTATTAACATCTTCTAACTGCATTTCACTACTAGAGATTGTAGTTAGTATCTCCTCAATTTCAATAGGCCTACAACTTAACATCTCATCCTCTTGATGTGCAATTACTACAATGTATTATTGATCAATTATTCCCCATGCTTTTATTTTTATGACATCTAGCCAATCTTGTTTATCCCTACGACCACTGGAATATTTGCTGAAATAAACTTGAATAACTTGACTTGTTAACATAAATAAATCAAACTTTTCATATCTTTTACTATGTTTTACATCGACTAAATCATACGTAGGATGAACCCTTATGCCTTTATTTTGTACTGGATCATACCATTGACAGTTAAACAAGCATACAAAGTTCTCATTTTTACCTGGGTACTCTAGGTCAAGAACCTTATTCAGAATACCGTAATAATCACACTGATCTTCTTCATGAGTGTTCCCTTTAACACATACTCCACAATTTTTATTTTTCTTCCTTCACTCCATGACTTGATATGAAATCTGAACACATTCACTATATATATTGGCTAGGTTTTTATTTTTTGTATTGGACCCCATGCTAGTGCTTGCAAACTTTTATCGAAACATTTGTTATCAGGGTTTTGTATCAAGAAATATTTTAAAATATTAGTATTTTTTGTAATAAATATGTTGTAATTTAAATTA